ATTTTTGGATTCTATATCTCCCAGCCCTGCACCATTTTCCATTTTCTCCTGGGGGGGGCTCTTCTCTGTTGATTGATCAGTGTCTTTTCAGCATCAGAAACCATTTACTATCCAGACCTGCTTGTTTTCTTGCTTCATTTAGAATAGCCCTAGAGTATTTTTCAATATAAATGTTACTCAACGTTTTAAAAAGACCATTAAAAACTAACCCAAACGAACATAAAAGAAAGAAAGGAAAAGAAAGAAAGGAAAAGAGAAAGACGGAAGAAAGACAACAGTGCAGATAGAAAAGAAACACAAAGAAGCTGCCGATTTTCTTTGCGGCAAATACGAGGGTGATTACAACATTCTCGCTTGCTCTACGATTACAAAAAGGAAAGTTCTCTTTTTTCTATTATCCCTTCTTCTCCCTAATCAACAAAAACCACAGATCATCAGCTCGTTTTGTTCTGTTTCATGCAAATAGTCTATAAGAGGTTTCCAGTCTGCGATAAATGCAGATATTGTCTTTTCTCTAATTAAGGAAGTCACTTTAGCCACTCTGCAAGTCCCATCTCCTTCGCCAACCATCTATTGTGGGTCTTGCCACAATAGCCCTAAGATATTTAGTGGCCTCCTATAAAGACTTGTGGCTTTATCTGCAAAACAAGACAAACCTAGATCCTTTTAAACTCAGTTAGGCTTGTGCAGCCCCCTCCCTCGGGCTGTTGTGTGAGTTGAGGGTTCGGTGTGTGGCCCAAACTCAGGAACTGATGAATTCAGGGACCATGTTCAGGAGAACCTTGGCTGTTCTGTGGATTAGTATTTTATCGGCGTTTGCTACTTTTGATGACGGTCGTGTTCAAAGGAAGCTTAAGGTGGAAAAGTGGCTGTTCCATTAACCATACCTTGTAACCAGGTTGCTGCCCTTAAATGGGAGGGTCTTTTGAGTACTTACAGAACACCACTGGACGATCCTCCGTCTATATCATCTTCCTGTGATTGAGATAGTCTCATCTGCTTTTCCTTGGTGTCCACCCAGTACATTTATAATTATATTATAAATTTTAACTGTATATTTATTTATTGCTTTAATATGTTGTAAGCCGCCCAGAGTCCCCCATTGGGGGGAGATGGGCGGGGATAAGTTTAATAAATAATACATCAAAATCAATCAATCAAAACCTGGATTATAAAGGGGGACGCATACAGGATTGGTGCTGATTTTCACAAAAATGTCTCGCTAGAGATCTGGACTAAGTTCCTTATATCGGTGTGGGTTGATCACACGGAGAGAGCGTTACACCTTAGGGGCGCTGCAACCAATTTGCAGCGCTGGCTGACTTGAGCAAAAGTTCCAAGTGGGGACTAAGCCTAGAGAGATATTTTGGGTCATCCTTGCCTTGACTCCTTCACCCAACAGATGCAAACGCTGGAGAATCTGGTGGGCGGGAGCCTCGATCAACCTCCCCAAGGAGAGGAAGAGCTGAAAGACTATTTCCTGAAGCTGATTAATGGAGACTTCCTGCACCAAGTCATAGAAATGATGTGAGTCACACTTTTGCCGTCGTAAAACCATCAACACAACAGATCTTGGTTTGGTCGTGGGGTTGAACCCTCATAGCTTCCTGCAGGATCAGGGAAAGTCTAGGGCAGAACGGGCTGGGAATTCTCAAAGGGATATGCCTCTTCCCCAGACTCTCCAAGATAAAATCCCAGAATTTAAAGATTTTTGCTCCGCCGAGACCTGTTTTTTTCTAAAAAAAAATTGTTTGCGCTATCTGTGAAGACTACGGGGTGCGTGGAGTTGATGGAATAAAAAAAGTAGTGACTTTAAAAAAAAAAAAAAGCAAGGGTGGAGCCCGGGCAACCACGGTGTTCACAAGATGGGCAACCATATAAATGCTATATATAAATAAATAAACAAATAAATAAATAAAGGGATGGATGGATGGATGAATGAATGGATTTGTATGAAAATGTTTTACGCAAAACTGGTGAATTAAGCATTGCATTAAGTGTTAGAATGTACAGTATAAACCAGTGTTTCTCAGCCTTGGTGACTCTAAGATAGGCGGACGTCAACTCCCAGAATTCCCCAGCCAGCATGCT